TCAGCGTTCTAAATATAAAATAAAATTTTTCTCTGCTGCCTAAAAGAAATATTGCTGCATCCTCCTTCTCGCACTTACCATTACCTGACCATCTTATTTCATTTATCCCCAGAATATCAATTTTGAGCCTCTTTATTTTAGTAATTGCGTTGTTTAGTTTTCCAGTCTGACAAAGAGTTCTTACGTTCCATTAAGCTATCTTAACAGTATTTTTTCTAATATTTTTTGTTTTATCCAGTCACAGATTTCCCACGCAAGGCCTGGTACCCACTGTTGCGTGGCCGTTGTCTGATTTCACATCGTCCAGCCCGGGAACTCGACACCGCCGGTTACTAATCGGATCGCATGGCATATCATCTTTAAATCTGCTACTCATCATGATGGTTTTACTAGGTATATATAATGTGATAGTGAATCAGTGGCTTTCCACATCCTTATGTCGTTGAATACTTAATAGTTTCTCCGCCTTCGAAGCCGATTTCTCACCTCCAGGACAAAAGAGTGTCCTAGCACTTACCAACTCATCCGCCCGAAACCGTTGGTCAGCAAGTGGGAGATCGCTTATACCGGCAATCGTTCGGTATTGAGGAATTTAGAAGTGTACGAATGAAGAGCGCCGCAAGTTGCGCGGTTTTTGTGTAGGTTGAGCGACATGTACATGCCACATATCCCCCGCGCAAAAAGGACCTCTTCCACTCAAACACGGTCAAGAGGACTCATCCGACACTCGGGGTGTGGCTGAGATAGGTTCTAGGTAAATAAATGGGTATAGGACGAGATGGAATGTTGGGTAGGGACAGCGGTCAGCTGCTCCTGCAGTCGTCTCTTACAACCAGTAGGAGATAGTGTGGGTGTATTCTTTTTAGTGACCGCATCTCACATGGTTTCCACAGTCACCACATCTCAAAATTGCTCACGGAGTTCTCTAAACTGTAACGAAATCTTCATCCAAATGACAGATCTTCTTTATTCGAATATTTATTGTTTTGGTTATATAGACATTTTGGTTTTGATTCTTCTGGTGGTTGTACATAAGGCTAAATGTCAAATTTATCAAAACTTCTTGTCGGGTATTTGTGGAATTTGAAATGTTACAATTGTAAATAACAAAGAAATTTAATACTATAACATTTAAAAACCTGTACAAAATAACCATAGGTCATCTTCTACTACAACGTGCCACATTATATTTTGCGCATAATTGATCGGCAGTATCAACCCCGCTTTTTGTAATGTATATGCTAATATGATTTCGGGTTTTTCAGTTACAGTATTAACGTCGTCTTCATGGTGCATAGTGGAATATAACAGAAGGTTTTTTTTGGTTTACATGACACTAGTGTTACTCCTGAATCAAACCCAAATGTACTAGAGCAAAGAGGTCGTCCTTAATTGTTAGAGAAATATGCAGAAATTTTTCTTTTATTAACTTTTATTTTTCCCAAGAGATTTAAACCATTTTCCTTCAAGCTTGTACCAAGATTAACGATGGTGTACCACTTGTCGGTGGTAACATTTCTCTTAGATCAGTGAAGATGTTTACAGGCCCGTTCCGCTACTGCCTTGATACTAGTGTCTGGATCATATGGACCACCCACTTGATTTTTGCCAACGTATACTTTCATGTTAGTGGTATAAGATAACTTCGCATCAGACAGTGCAAATATTTTTATACCGTATCTATTGAGTTTGCTTGGTATGTTCTGGCAGAACGAGCACCGTCCTCTAAAAGCCTCCAACTTTGCGTCCACGGTTATGTTTTTCTAATGAGAAAAACATTTTTTTCTGATTTTCATTCCACTTGGTACTATGACCTCTTATTGGCGCTAATTTATCCAAACTGACTCTATCATACGTTGTAGTGATATCATTAGTTTGCATGTACCCAGTGACGTGCCGTGACGTTTAAAGAAAGTGTTGCAAATTAAAGGAAATTAAAAATAGACTTACTAACCTTTTTACTTGTAGTGCAGCTCTATTCTTCTGTCATCCTTGGCAAACTCGTTTATGACAAACTGAAAACTGGGATTTTCGGACATTTCTTTAATAATTGATAAAATCGCTAAGTTAGCTAGCCTCTCCTCACTTGTGGAATTGCTGACAAAGTTTTTAATCCGCTTTAGTACAGAACAACTTCGTTCTACAGACGCACTTGTACAAGGTACTGTCATCACTAAGTCACATAATTTTGAAATCTCACCATGTGCTTCATCCAGTTCAGTTTGTTTGAGAAATGTCAGCATTTTAGAACTAGTATCAGTTTGTATAGAGCGTTAAGAAACATACAAAACGCACAGTTAGGAATGCAGGGAAAGAAGGTCAAAAATGTTTGCATAATGTTTTTTTAGACAATTAAAAGCCTCTTCCTGGAAACTACAGTTGGCATATTTATTGAAGTTGCATAACTCCACAAATCTTAACTCACAAAGGTTTTTAAATCTTTCTTTAAGCTGCTGGGAAATATCTATTATTTCACTAAAAAGTCGATTATAAGATATTTTTGTGTCGCCTACATTGTCAATTTTAATGCGTTTTCTGTTGGGTTCCATCTCTTCGAGATCGGAACTTTTTGCCACATAATATCAAATTGCTCCCTCTGTCTGTTGATTTGGACTTCTAAATCGTTAATTTTTTTAATACAAAATCCGATATCATTCGATTTAGTCAGCAATACATAAAATAAAATGTCTGTATAAGGAAATATTTCAGAAAATACTGGAAGCAAAAAATTAAAATCAAAATCTCGTTTGACTACTTCCAAATAACCTCTTGAGGAAATCACAGTTTCAGGGTCCCAACGGTCTTTATGCTACAAAATGCTTTCAAAACCCTCTATTAGGGATTGCCCATATTGGAAAATTGTTTTTACTAACCTCCCATTGTAGTTCCATCTGACGGGAGCTGCTCGAGGGAACCTTTTCTGAAGAATGGCATCTAAAGCATGTGTCCTTTTGGACGATTAAGAAAAAAAAAACAGCCATTCGCTCAAGGTTTGAAAAAATACTTTGCAAGTCTTATTGAGTTCGACTGATTGCGCTAGAACTAAATTTAGCCTGTGTGCAAAGCAGTGCACAAAAATTGCATTTTGAAACCTCTCCTTATCTTTGGTTTAAAGTTCTCCCAGGTGCCCAGCTATGACGGCAGCTCCATCATAACTTCGAGCAACAAGTTTGGAACCACAGTCCAGTTCCTCAACTATATTGCAAACATGTCTATATATACCTTCTGCCGATCTATCTGCAGTTATATCCAAAAATCCCCAAAATCGTTCTTGTATTTCACCATTATTTTTGATGTAACGCAGAACAACCGACAATTGATTCAAATTCACGATATCTGTAGTTTTATCTAGAACAATGGAAATAAATTGTGCTTCTTTGATTTTTTCTTTGATTCTTTGCAGAACAATATCTGCCACAGACTTGATCAAATCGTTTTGTATTCTATTCGAGGTACCTCGAAATATGGTAGATTGATCTAAATGACTTTTTAGTAGTTCGTCATATTCAGATAAAAAATTTGCTAAATCCACAAAATTTCTCCTATTTACAGATTCATAATTTTCATTATGCCCTCGAAAACTAAGTTCCTGTTCTCCAAGAAACGTGTAATATGATTCAGTCTTTTTAATATTTCACGATTTTTTTTACTTGCTCATTATGCATGCGGTGACTAACTTTAAGCTGATTATCTAGAGCGTGATCAATTCGTGTTTTCCCAAAAGTCTTTTCTTTTATAACTGCTTCTAAATGCGTTTTACTTAAAATGTGTCGTTTTATAGATTTGTGCAAATTATTTAAATCTGAGTAACCCGTACTATTCCACACGTTCTTATCACTCATAGTATTTAAATACACTTTCCTGAACATTGGATTGTTCGTGGTAGTCATAATCTTGTGGTGAGATAATAATAATTATTTAATTCATAAAAATTTCAAAAAATTACTTATTATTATACTTAAAACAACTATAATAAATACTGCAGCAGTTTTTTAGAACCAATGATGCTATTTAATATGAGACGATATTTTATGGAATGTATTGACAAATGAATTAAAGAAAATTGTGGACATATCGAATATTTACTTTGACAAAAAGTTTAATGTTATTTAGTTTAACTATTTTTTAATTTGATTTGTAAATAAAATGTTTTGATTATGACTTTAATTTAATACAAAACGTAAAATGTTTGATGTAAAATCCAATTATTCTGTTATTTTATCAAATCCTATTATTAATTATCCTGCTGATATATTTATTTTATTTAATATATTGTTAACTATTAACTTTATTAAAGGTATTTTATAACAAAATTCAGAAGTATTAATGTTTTTATCTATTTTTCTTTCATTGCCTGGAGTAATTGCGTTAAATCAGAATTATGCAGTTGATTTGTAAAATGCGATTATCTCGAAAACTGTTAAGTTTTAAAGTTATTAACAAGTGTACCTTTTTTTTGTTAAAATAGTGTATCTTTTTTATTTTTCATCAAGAATATCGGTGGCTTGAAGAACAAAAAAGTTAAGTGTAAATGTATGCCACGTATGTGGAATACGTGGCGCCCTCTATTAGATATATATATATATATATATATATATATATATATATATATATATATATATATATATATATATATATATAAAGTATGCATCATATTATAATGTCTAATGATCAATTGTACCAGCTGTAAATTTTTATACATAAATGTTTACAAACATGAAAGTTATAGCCAAAAATAAAATTTTAAATTTCCCCTTTAACACCCTGTATCTTTTTTCTGAGCAACATTTTATTAAGGCATATTTGGCCCAATAGCCATATTTTGGTCCATATAACCTGTTCTTAGTCTATGTCAATGGTTACGACTCACCCTGTATAATAAATTAGGTATCAGCTATCAATTTCACTTGTGTCCCCATTTTACACCCAATTTAAAACAATTTAAAATAATATTTTAAATTAAATAACAAAATATAAATATGTTTTTTAATTTTATGTAGAAATATGAATTACACCTGAAAGTAGCCCCTACAATTGAAAAGCCAAATGAAACAGCCGTTTTAACATCTTTACCCCAAGATTTGATATCTAAGGGTCAGTATAACAAGGTTCCATTAATGATTGGTTATACTAACATGGAGGGCATATTACATGAAATATATCAACAAAAGGAAACGAAACAAGGATTAAAACCAGACTATTTCAATCTCGACAAGTTTGTACACCCACATATGGCGATAGGAAAAAATGACCCTAAGAGGGAGCTGATTAAAGAGAAGCTACGGAAGTTCTACTTTAATGGCAATACAGATGAAACAGCAAAATATGTGGTAAGTATTATAGAAATAAGATTAGTTAAATTAAAAATATAAATTAGCGTATAGGGCTTTCAATCATCTACAATTCTTGTTTTCGTTTTATTTTTGTAATATCGCTAATGACTTTTTGATTATCATATTTTAAAGATCATTCTTACTATTTTAAATATTGTAATTTGATTTATTCTATTTGTATAAATTAAAATTAACTTTAACAGAGTAAAAATAAATTAAAGAATGAACTATAGGAGTGCATGGGTGATAAAAGCTATTTAAGAATTTCTTAAAGTTAGAGTAAGAATATTAACATTTTGAATATAGAGAAAAACTATCCGATAGTAAAGAGGAGTTTCTGTGAAACAAGATTTTGGCTAATGAATAAAGGAGTTCGCTTACAGGCGAGCAAATCTGGTATCGTAATGTAAAAATGGCGTGATAATTCTATTTTTTAAGAGGAACTCTAGATCTAAGTGATTATGGAAATTAATAAATTTGTATTGAATAAGCGACTAAAGTTCAAATCAAGGCAGTCAGAAATTACAAAAAAATACCTAACGGGCAAAAAAAAGTCAGTGGTGTATCACCATAGACCGAAAGTTTACCGCAGTGAAGAAACTGCATTGCGACGTTCGGGGATTACTTAGTAACTAGTATGCGGATTCCAGGTTTTAGAGAGAATAGAGATTGCCCAGGAACCTTAATAGTGACAAAGCATGGTGTTATATCTTTCTTGTTTTTCCTGAGTGTACTCACTAAGGATAATTTGTGAGACAGTAACGTGTCTGCTAATATTATGCTGGTATACCAGTTGTTCGTTGTGATGTTTCTTCCTGAACTGATGAGTGTATTACATAAACGCTGCACAATATCAATGGGCTTATAGCTAACTTGAAAAGGACCATCTGGCGGCTTTCCAATATAAGTTTCAAATTGTAAGGTATAAAATGTCTTGGAATCACATATAGCGAAAAACTTAAGGTCATATTGTGCCGACTTGTTTGGTAGATACTGTCAAGAAGAGTATCTAAGCGAATAATTTGCGAGACAATTATTGTTCAACTAATTATAAATCTTCTAATGGGAGCTAACTTGTCAAGTAGTACTCTTTATTCGCGGGTATTTATATTTTCAAACCTTGACATTTTATGAAAAAATGAAAACAATTTTAACTGATAGTTTTATAAAACGTTTGTATTCCAAGCCTTGAAATATCCCACAAATCTTTGATATTCCTATGGTTGGATTTACAAATGCCAGATAATATTAGTTACTGAACTAAAGCACGAATTTCTATGTTATTGTTTTCTGTGCACTGTCTCTTACGTTTGCAATTTGCGGAGAGTTTATTGATAAATATATTGGTACTTTCTGTAACTTCTTTGATTATGTTTTCAGTTATTTAACAGTTTAACAAATTTAAACATTCAATGACGGACTTTTTTGGCTACATTTATTATTCCTGGTAGATGGAAAATTAGATTATGGCTTCTAGTTTACACCTACTCACGACTCTTCTCCCTTGACCATTTAGTGACTTTCGTCTTTTCCAAGGTAAAATTGATTTCCGTCTCTTTCTTGTTCTTCATCACTTGTCAAATTATCGTCACTATAAAATTCAGTCATAACGTTACGCTCACTATTTGATTAAGAATCACTCCGTAGTTGGGTTAATTTCCATCTGAAAGATAATCTGATGGTATTTCGTCATTGCTTATATATATATATATATATATATATATATATATATATATATATATATATATATATATATATATCGGTTTTAGAACGTCTTTCGACGTTGTCCGATGCCTAACTTCCACGTCCTTCTATCATTCCATTGGCCGTCTCTAAGATTTTTTGTACTCATTGCTTTAGTTACCACTTCTTTCCATGTCTTCTTGGGTCTTCCTCGTTTTTTGCGGTTTGGTGGTACCCACTGCATAATCTTCTTGGGTAGTCTTGTGTCTTCCATTCTTTGAACATGACTATACCAAATCAACTGTTTCCTCTCAATGTCTGTTGTTAAGTAACCATCTATTCCAATTCTTCGTCTTACTTCCTCATTTCGAACTCTTTCCCTGCGGGATATACCTAGCGATCTTCTAAACACATCCATTTCTACAGCTTCTAATTTTTTTCTGTTGTTCTCGGTGATTCTCCAAGTTTCTGCTCCATAAAGTAGACTGCTTTTAATTAGTGACTCATAGATGTTATATTTTCGCTTTATTCCTATTTCAGAGCTCCAAAGTATTCCATTTAGGCAGCCAATTGTTCTTCTAGCTTGTGTAACCCTTCGTCATTGCTTATACATTCATAAAATAGTTTGAGTAATCGCGATTGTTCTAACTCATATTTGCTCATTTTTACGAAAAAGTAATATTAAAAGTATTAAATAGACACAATACATGTTAACACTTCTATGCAAGTGTAAAAAGAATAAATATACTTACCGGCAAAAATAAATATCGATGAACAAAATGTAACTTACCACTCGCAGGGTATTCACAACACCACAAGCACATGCTTACTATACAATGACTTACAGTACACTAATCAGATTCTTCCACTAGGTGGTAGAGACAACGAAAATATGCAGCAATGACAATGGTATTATTGCTTAGAAAATATTAACAGCTACACTCAGGTGCAAAAAAATCGATCCATGGGTATTATTTGCTGAAAAAAGAAAACGTTTGAAGATATTAGTTTTAAATCAGTTAATATGTAAAAGTATATGTTAGATTAAAATAATTTTTATAGATTATCTAAAAAAAATATTTATTTATCGAGGCATACGCCAAAACTCAAAAATACAAGAATATTCAAAACTTTCTGAAATTAAGAAAAACATTGATAATAAATCAATATCTAGTGTTTCCCCCTCGGGCCCTTATAACAGCCTGTACACGTCTAGGCATTGAGGTAATTATTATACCTCTGGATATCAAATTGATCCAATTGGTCCCATATTTCTTGAAGAGCCGCTGTACGTTCAGCCAAGTTGTTTGGACGGGGTACTCGTGCTCGAAGACGTCTTCCCATCATATCCCTTAGAGCTGGTCAGTTCATACGGACAATTCCACTAGTGTCTAGAGCCTGACTCACTATTCTGTGCAGACTTGCGCAGTTTATTTGTATTCATTTCTAAATGTGTCAATGAGATTTATATCTATTGTTGTTTGCGATCATTTTTTTTATAAATTAATAATATAATCACTTCAATCCATCTATTTAACCCGTTTAATAAATTTAATAATGTTTAAATTATAAGAATAACTCTATAATTAATAGTAAATAATAGCGAATCAAAATTAAAGGTTTTTTAAAATAGTTTTAATACAATAATAGATACCTATGATACCAACTTTCTTATTTTAAATGAAACATTGGTTATATTATAGAATTTTTGGATTCTGCACAAAATTCCCAAAACTTTGATATATTGCATGTTATAGTTTTAAATAACTTATTTTAGGATACAGGGTGGTTAATGAATAGATCACTCTCTGCGTGTCTCCTTATGACTTTAAAAGGTTCTATACCTAATTTCAGTAAAGAAGAGTGAGTTCATTTTCGTATCTCAACTTGTTTCTAATAATGTATATAGTACTCTAAGAAGATATGTACCTATATTCTTTTAAAATAGATATTATGTCAAATAAATTAAACCTGTATATATTTTTACCAGGTGTAAAATGGAATGTACATAAGTAGATATCTTAAAGGCTACATATTTAAAAGTTAATATAGAAGGGATTATGCCTTTAATAGATTGTATATTAAAAACAGTTAAATTAAAGCATGGCAATCCAATATATTGATAAAGTTCTTTGTATTTTATATTGGATCCAATAACTAAATAATATACCTGGTTTTCCATCTAAAATAATAAAGTTGGCATCAGTATTTACAAGACATCATACTCTGTATAACACATTTTTATTGGAAACATATGCGCAACAAAAAATATTAAAAAAAAACCAGAGCTTTTCGAGGGACTATTCATTATTTAATAAATAATTTTTATATAACTGTGCAAAATATTTTTTTTTTCTAAACCGGAAAATTATTCACTTATAGATATTACAAAGAAAAGGTCTCTAAAACGTTTTTGAGCAAGCCAAAAAAATCACATTATAAGGCATGAATGAATCAAATATGTAGTATCTTTTTTGTAGATGTAATATTCAAAAACAAACTGAAAAGTTACTTTTATAAAGAGAGATCTGTATCTGTATAGCTGTGGCTATGCTGGACTTAATAAAACAACGATTAGATAGAAAAAAAATCACAAATTCGTGATATGCATGTAATATGTTAACTTTTTTGTTTATTGTTAGTCTTGGTTTTGGATAAGATAGATCCCAATGTGTTTGTTGTTTTAAATATTGTTGAAACATTGAATTTACTTTCTATCCTTTTAAGTTTTTCTGATAATCCTTTTATATATGGTATTGTTATTTTTCTCGAATTTTGTCGTGTGAACGTAGCAGGATTCCTTTCTTTTATTTTGTTCCATTTCCTTTATTCTGGAAAATTCCTTACTTTTAAATGACCTCGAATAATCATTTTTCACTAAAATAGATGTTAATAATTATTTTTCTTTTAAAAACGAATTTTCATTAGAACTGACAATTTTAGCTCTATCATATAATGATTTAATGAGTCCTTTTAAAATTATTTATTAAATAATGTATAGTTCCTCGAAAAGCTCTGGTTTTTTCAATATTGTTTGTTGCGCATATGTTTCCAATAAAAATGTGTTATACAGAGTGTGATGTTATGTAAATACTGATGCCAACTTTAATAATTTAGATGGAACACCAGGTATATTATTTAGTTATTGGATCCAATACAAAATACAAAGAACTTTATCAATATATTGGATTGCCTTGCTTTTATTTAACTGTTTTTGATATACAATGTATTAAAGGCACAATCCCTTCTATATTAACTTTTAAATATATAGCCTTTAAGGTACCTACTTATGTACATTTCATTTTACACCTGGT